CCTTCCCATGAGCGACCTCAGGGACAAGAGACAAGAACATCAGCTGAAGCAACAGACAAGACAAGATAAGAGCTTTGGACAAGCCATTAATTGCTTAGTGTTTTTTTGTGGATATTTTCATCAACAGACCGCTTTGGCCTTTTATGTACACTTTATGGGCTGCAATTACCACGACAGTTCAGCTAGTTCGTACGAGCCAACTTGGCAGCTAACTCCTCCATGATTTTTGTACCGATCCATGTTCTTAATTGTTGATTCGACCGAAAAAAAAATGTTCTTAATTGTTGAGACTTGATTTTGTTAGTCCAGTAAGCCGTCTTGAAGTGTAAATTAGGTGAGATAATATGTTTCAATTTTTTTTGATTTTTTTAAATATTTTTTATGTTTAATTTTATTTTCTTCATTTTTCTTATTCCTTATTCGTAAGCTAGTCGTCGGGCCTCGGCGACCGGCCACAAGCATGGGCCGGCCTGGCTAGGGCTGGCCTTGGGCTCGCCCATGGCGTGTTGCTAGGTCCGCCGACTGGCGGAGGAAGAATGAAAAAGAAAAAGAAAGAAAGAAAAAAAAACGATAACTATTAAAAAATCGATTAAAAAAATCACAAAATTTGTCCACGTTAGCGCGATCGTGCCATGTAGCACGGCCAGCATCCACGTTTGTAATTTCCGACCAAATGAGCTATTCCTTATCGAATGACGGAAAATAATTTTTAGTTCATTTTCAGGTCTTGGTCAAACACCGGAAAATATTGTCATTTTCCTAAAAAATGACTTCTCAAAAAATATTTTCCAGAAATGTCAGATTTTCTGTGAAATAAACAGAGCCTTGGTATTGTCTTTCTCCTACTTTTTTTGATTAATTCCTTAGCATTTCATATTCTTCCGAGAATAAAATAGAAAACTAATCTGATTGGACCGGCCAATTTCATTTTTTCACATTTTTTCTTTCTCGGGTCTCTCCAATTTGGGCTTTGTTAACATAACGGTCTTTGGGCTACTGTGAGAGTAACAGTATCCTGTGAGCCATAAATTCTTGAAAAAGTAGACCCCGCCACAATTTCTAATTATTTGTTATTTCTTTTTGGGCCACGTTTTTTCCACTCCTTCCATAGCTAATAAACTCCCTATTTTAGTGTTTTGACCATATTATCCTCCATGGGTCCCGCTTTTTCAGCATCCTCTCATATTATTCTATCAAAAGTGTTCTTTTTTTTCTCTCCAGTGTGATGTCCCTTTGGTTTCTTTATTTTTCTTTTGTTGTGGGTCCTACCTTTCATCTTATCTCTTTTAGCAAACGATGTTGGTTGTTACAATGGAGGCTCGTTACACTTTGACGTTGTGGCCTCCTCGTTGAACCCCAAGGGAACGGCGACAGGAGTAGAAGGCACAGGCTCGGAGCGGTGTTTGAGGAAGGGGGAGACAACGTCAGGGATGAGGGTGTCAAAGTTATTGGAGGAGGTGGTGGTAGTGGTGACGGGTTTTGGTGTCGGTCTTGGTATCCCAAGAGTAGGCCTCGGTGAACTAGGAGTGGATGAAGCTTGGACGATAAAAGATCCATGGGTGAACGCTCGCCATGTGGTCGAACGACCCAATTGATTGATTTCCCTCTAATTGCTCTCTCTCTCTCTCTCTCTCTCTCTCTCTCTCTCTCTCTCTCTCTCTCTCTCTCTCTCTCTCTCTCTCTCTCTCAAGTACCAGAAGAGTTTATTGAGGTGGTTAAAAGAATAGTTTGTGTGGGTGAGGGAGAGTGAAGTAGGGAGAGATGAAAGAGAAGAAATGGTATACTGAGGGCGAGATTGTGGGAGATAGAGTCAAGAGCAGTTAGCTAAAGCAAAGATTACTCTCTCTCTCTCTCTCTCTCTCTCTCCTCTCTCTCTCTCTCTCTCTCTCTCTCTCTCTCTCTCTCTCTCTCTCTCTCTCTCTCTCTCTCTCTCTCAAGTACCAGAAGAGTTTATTGAGGTGGTTAAAAGAATAGTCTGTGTGGGTGAGGGAGAGTGAAGTAGGGAGAGATGAAAGAGAAGAAATGGTATACTGAGGGCGAGATTGTGGGAGATAGAGTCAAGAGCAGTTAGCTAAAGCAAAGATTACACGATATGTCTATCACGGTGAACAAGAAGAGGAAGAAGAAATGGAGAGATCAAAGCCAGAGAAAGAGAGATAAGAGGAGGAGGACTACGATGTTGGTGGTCTTGTAGTTCATGGTCATAATTCGGTTGACAATGATATGTTGGGAGTCATGTTGTCCAGGTCATAATTCAGTAACTAATGAAGAAAACAAAGAAGCAGAAAAACATCAAACCTAGCAATGAAATGTCTCTAATTGCTTCCGATGAGAGAGAGAAAAATGAAATTTTGACTTTGAAGCTTCTACTTCTTTTTCCCTTTCTTTCCATCTTCTTAGCTAATTGGAAAATGTAAATCATATTTGGAGCGGAATTGAGAAGAGAGAGGGTTATATTCATTGATAGATAATTGATGAATTACCACCAAGAATTAAACCATGATCAAATTAAATTTTTTTTTGTCGAATCAGATTTAATTAAGAGGAATAAGAGAGGGCTAGAATTACCTCCAAGAGAGAGAGAACAGATAGAATTAAGAAGGAGAAGGAAGGTGGGACCCGCAAGAAAAGAAAAATAAAGAAACAAAGCAATGGAGGATGCTGAAAAAGTGAGATCCACATAAGATAATATGGTCAAACTACTGTTATAAGGAGTGTATTAGCTAAAAGGGAGTGGAAAAAGCACGACTCTTCTTTTTTTGTGAGTTAAAACAAGTTGTTATTCTCACGGTAGATTAAGGACAATCATATAAGTATTTCTCCTCTAATTTTCCACGTATTTACACATGTAGAAAAAGGATATGTTTTTTTTCTTTTGGTCAGAAAAATTTCATGTATGCTAGAATTAAGAAAGTGGTCGCCATCGTGGGAAAACTTTCTCATTATAGAAAGATGAGAAGACAATAAATGCACATATCTTTAACAAAAATATAGCGAAAAAAAAAAGTTATCTTCATGGTTAGAGTTAATACCACGAAAAACTCCAAATTTGTACGTCAGTGATAAATTTACCCCAAATTAATTTTTTGACCACAAAAAATCACAAATTGGTACACCTGTGACAAATATACCTTCCGTTAAATTGGATTAATATCACGAAAAATCACAAATTGTTAAACATATGACAAACAAAGGAGTAAAATCCTAAACTAGTACGCCCATCAATTATCATGTGTCATCTAACTAAATAATTTGATGGTAAAATTTAATGAAAATTAATAAAAAAATAAATATATCATAAATATATCAATTTAGAATTTTTTGTGATATCAATTCATGTTTACGTCATCCAACCATGGAAATGCAGGACAAATTTGCAGGACTAGGCCGCACGTGATTTTCTCTCTCTTGATTGCCATTTCCGCACGTCGTAAGAATGAAAACGCCTGTAAATTGACTCACAAAAAAGTAGATGCCGACTTGACAAATTCCGCCTACGTATTTGACAACGACTCAGCACCAAAATGCATGTCCAAATCAATCAAACTTCTGATCATCAAATGAAAATTCGATTATTATTATTATTATTTTAATTTTTGTGGGTTTTCATTCAACAGATGAACAGGCAAAAAAATATATAATATTGACTTGGCAAAGGTCAAAAGAAATTCTCTTTATAAGTTGGGTGTATGTGAAGTCACCGGTCAAGATTAGCAGGAGCATTTCTTCACATTTGCTCCATCTTTTCTTAATCACTTCTCAAGAATTGCAAATCATCCATCTAATCGCATTATTTTATGGTAAAAATAATATGACGCTCTAGCCATTCGAGTTCGTGCAGACGAGTTGTAGCCCGCTATCCGAATTGAGGAACGGGTTTTCGGAACTAGTTTGCCCTAGCGGGATCGCAACCCTTCATCCTGGCCATAAACACGTGTGTCGTCCCAAGACATTAGGGGCATGATGACTCGACGGCAACTTGCAATTTAATTTCGCTATCAATCCGATCGCCATTCACAATTTTTTTTGTCTTTTTCTTTTCATCGAAGAATATACATATCCGTGACTTCAATGTCTCGCCTTTGTCGAAAAAATGACTCGAGGATTTGACACGATACCTATCTGACATGATATCAAAGTACTAACGAATTCATTTAACATGAAATCTCCATACTTTGACAGGAATTATATCTTATGACAAAATCTTCCAAAAAAATGAAAACTTTACTACATATTCCCCTCCCCCTTTTTTTTTTCTTTTAAAGAGAGTCCAATTCCAAGATGAATCCAACAAAGCCCAGACCAGCAGATGCGCATGCAACATCGACATTCCTTTCATCTCTTTTGGCAAAAACAAAACCAAAGAAAAAAAAAATAATTCGTTCAAAGGAATAAAGGGGGCCAAAAGGATACAAAAACAAAAAAGCAAAAGAGAGAAAATTATGTAAATTAAATAAATAAAAAAAGATGACGATAATTGAAGGGGGGGAATGGTTGACGAAAGGTGTCGCGGAAGAGACAAGCAATAAGTGGGATTCTCTGATCTCCCGTGTTCACCTAAAACCACAACATCTTCCCCCACATACTCCCCACCTAATCTCCTTAAAAAAAAAAAAAAACTCACCTCATACCCTTTTTCTTTTTCTTTTTCTTTAACTTAATTAATATTCTTTTCAATCTTTCTTTTTTCGTTTTTGGACTTTAAGATCTTGTCTATACATTTGGCCCAGAAATCAAACTCCCACAAACATCAAATACCCAATATGGACAACAAGCCGTGGTCCAAACTGAAATGCAATTGCCCCAAAAAACAGACCAAAAAAAAAAAAAAAAATCGACCCGGATCTCATATCAGGTAACACGCCGACGTGATAATCAGCGAACCAATCGAGAAGTTGCCTCCGTTCGAGGGACGAGACTGATTGATCGGGAATATCGTGGCAATCCCTGTGTCCACCCGATTTTGGCATTAGGGGGGCGAGTCGTGTCGGCGCGGCGCGCGCGGCGAAAACCCGAGTTTGAGGACTTGAATAGACTGTCGACTTGTTAACTCAGGTGGGGGCGGATGTCCTTGAGGAGACCCACGACCTGCTGCATGGTGGGCCGCTTCTCGGGGGACTCCGCCGTGCACAGGTACCCGACGCGGAGGCACTCCGCCATCTCGCTCACCGAGCCGCCGCCGTCGACCCTCAGCCTCCTCTCGAGCGCCTCCTCGCCGCGCCCTTCCCTCACCAGCCTCCTCGCCCACGCCAAGCTCTCCTCGCTCCCTTCTCTCCCCGTCAACAGCTCCACCAAGATCATCCCGAAGAAGTAAACGTCCGCCTCCGGGGCCGGACCGGCGCCGGCGCATTCAATTCCCCCCTTCCCGCTCCCGAAATCCTGGATCCCGAAGTCGGAGATCCGGGGCTCCAAGCCGTCGCCGAGGAGGACGTTGGAGGCGACGAGGTGGCCGTGGGCGGACCCCGCGTGGTGGAGGTAGGCGAGGCCCCGGGCGACCCCGACCGCGACGCGGTGCCGCGCGAGCCAATTGGCTTTCTCCGGGGAGGACGTCTCGCTGCCGGGATGCTCCCACGTGTCGGTGCTCCAGTCCTCCACGTTGGGCGCCCCGGCGGGGAGCTCGTGGAGCCATTGGCGCAGGTCCCCGTTGGGCATGAACTCGTACAACACCAGCTTCTCCTTGCCTGCGACAACTCGTAGAGAAAGGTCAAATTCATTCATACCCCCCAAAAAAAAAAGAAAAAAAATTGCTCAAAATGATTAAAAAGTCGCCTAATTAAAGGTCTACAACAACGATAATTTCCTCGCCATATTACAATACAGAGCAAATACCACCAAAAAAATTCGAACTATACCCCCAACATGACACAAATGCTCCAAATTTTTTTGTCGCTAAAAACCCTAAATTTACCTGCTGTGAGACAAACATCTCTGACTTCTTTTGTATAAAAAAAAACCAAAATTTATACATGAATATTTTTAAACTTACATAAACCAAGGAAAAAAGACAAAAGAAAAAAGAGAAATGGGAAGCTTGAATTCTTCTCATTGGCAATGCAAAATCTAGGGACGAGAGAGAGACAGAGAGAGAGAGAGAGAGAGTAAAGATCTGATCGTGATCCGAAAGTGTCATCATGACCGCCGTGCGCCAATCGAACGTGGCTCGACAGCGTCCGTCCGGCGAGTACGACGAAAACGAAATCGAAATCGAAAATCGAAAATATTTTTTTTTCTGGAGACCCGTGACCGGAATTAAATACACGGTTGGTGGGTGCAGGAGAGGCCCGATGCTCGAATGAAATGAATGCCCCCCTGTAGAAAATATCTTGCAGTGCAGTACTTCGTCGCAGCACCCGGCTCAGAAAGATGGCAATTTCACGGGGGTACAGAAAGTCAAAAGGGGTCGTCAATCAATGCGCCGTTCGAAACCGATGCCGATGAAATCCTAAATCTTCGCTCGATGTTTCCGGCGGAATCCTTCCGGTAAATTTCCGCCGAGAATCACTAACATGGTATCCAGTCGTCGCCAACGACGTGGACAGCACAGGTCGGCGATTTCAGGCGGCAACTGGTCGGAAAGAAGGTTATATTGAAATTTCGGGCGAAAGTTTATGATTGCAGGTCTATGTTTGTTTCGTTTTTCAAAAAAAGACCTTTTGTATCGATTGAAAAAAATGTATGGGCGAAAATATTTTTATCGTGCCGAAATGTTTAAGCATAATTTGTTATTGGTAATGGAAACATTTTCATATGACTAATTATTTCAAGCCATACAATCGATCATTTTTAGGAAAATATTTTTTAAAAATAATTCATTTTCCGTGAAAAAAATCGAGCCTACGTTGGTAAAATTGAAAAGTTTCCGTATAGTAAATTTATGACTGATTAGGTAATTATTCCTCGTAAATACCAATAATCATTTTTAGAAAAATATTTTTCAAAATAATTCATTTTTTCGTGAGAAAAATCGAGCCTACGTTGATAAAATTGAAGAGTTTTCGTACAACAAGTTTAGAATCGATTAGGGTAATTAATTATTCATCGTAGATACCAAAGCTTTTAAAATAAGCTGACGAATTAATAAATTAAAAACCGCAAAAAGACATGCAACAGTCGTTGTCACGTACCGGCAATGCAGTAGCCGGAGATGGGCAACAGGTTCGGGTGCTTGAGCTTCGCGAGCCCCTCGAAGACCCTGGCGGCGCCGCCGTGGTCGACGGCCCTGGCGCCGTCGAGCACCCTGATCGCCACGTGGAGGTCCCCCGGCAGCACCGCCCGGTAGACCGGCCCGCACCGCCCTTCCCCGAGCAGCGACTCCCTCCCGAACCCCGACGTGGCGGCGATCAGGTCCCGGAAGGTCAGGCTCATCAGCGGCTTCTCGAACATCACCACCGCCGCCGACGACGGCTCCCTTATGTCCGCCACCCACGCCGTCCCGGACTCCGTCTCGAACGCGAACGGCCCGGACGCCCTCTCCATCCTGAACTCGGGCCGGGCCGGGCCCGATATCGCCCACTTGTTCTTCCTCCTCGCGATGGCCCTCCTCCTCCTTACGCAGGCGCAGCAAGCGGCGGCGAAAGCGGCGGCGACGACCAGGGACGCCGTCGTCGGGGCCAGAATCAGGGCCAGCCGCCTCTTGCGCGGCTCGGGTCTCTTGCTCGCGGATAGTTTCGTGGTGGGTCGGGGAGCCGGGCGCGTCGAGTTGCGGTGTCTCGTCGCCGGGGTCGGGGGCTTCGGAACGTCGTCTTCGAGGACGAGGTTCGTGCCGGCGTGGAGGAACGCGGAGTCCCCGAACTTCCGGCGAGTCTCGGGGCCGACCCGGCCGGTGAAGTCGTTGAGCGAGACGTTCAGGAACGCGAGGCCGGCCAGCGGAGGGAAATCGTCCGGGAAGACGCCAGTCAGCGAGTTGCTCGAAAGATCCAGGTATTTCAAGGACTTGAGGGACGAAACGGGTCGCGGGTCGCCGGAAATGTTGCAGCCCGAGACGTCGAGCCGCTCGAGCGCGGCGAGCTCGGAGAGGCCGAGGGGGAAGGCCCGGAGGTCGTTGCCGGAGAGGTCGAGGACACGGAGGCTCGAGAAGAAGCTCGAGAAGTTGCCCAAGTTGGTGAACCTGTTGCGGGACAGGTCGAGGACCCGCAACGGAGAAGACGACGAAACGTTCCGGGGGGCCGCGTCGAAGGCGACGCCGCCGCCGAAGCGGTTCGAGGAGAGGTTGAGCTCGGCGAGGCTCGGGGCGGCGGAGACGAACCAGCCGGGGACCGAGCCGTGCAGCGAATTGCCCGAGAGGTCGAGGACCCGCAGGCCCTTCATGGCCCTCAGGTACTTCCACGCGACGGTCCCGCTCAGGTTCCGGGAGGGGAGGCGGATTTTGTGGATGGGCGAGGAGCAGGCGGAGCCGGGGCCGGAGCGGAGCCAAGAAGAGTTGAAGCCGGAGACGGAGGCGAAGGCCCTGGAGGCGAGATCGTGGTCGTCGGCGGCGGCGGCGGCGGCCGTCGCGGTGGAGGTGTTGCTGCACGCCGAGTCGACGAGGACGAGCCACCCCGCGAGCGCGATCAAGAACGGCCCGAGAAGGCCGCACCCGCCGATCATCCCCATCTCGGAGCTTCAGGGGCTAGCGGTGGCTGCCGTCGGCGGCGGCGGCGGCGGCGGCATGGAGAGGGAGAGAGATGGTGGCGGAGGAGCTTTATGGATGGTCGTCGTCGTCGTCGTCGGAGGTGGTGGTGGTGGTTTTGGTTTTGGTTTTGGTTTGGCTTTTGACGTGGGTCGTCAGCGGTAGTGAAGTAGGAGGGAGGAGGTCAAGCAGTCTAGCAGGGAATTTCGTCAAAAAAAAAAAGAGAACTTCCTCCGTGAAGCCCCCGCTTTCTTTTCTTTTGATATGGAGTGGAGATCTTTCTTTTCTATTTCTCTCTTTTCCTTCCTTTTCTCTCTATGATATTGTCACCTCACCTACCGCCTCTTAAGGGCTGAACTTATTAAGTTCCCAAGAAGGGCGGAGCCAAGATCTAATTACTCTCTAATCATGGACCTCCCACTCTTCTTTCCCCACCCACCCCCAACAAGCAAAAAAAAAAAAAAGGATATTTCGACAGCCCGCTCCTATGCCCTCCTACACAGAAATTTCCCGCGAATGTCGCCGATCATCGAACGAAGCGATCTGATGTTGACTGGTCCGGCTGACGTGCGCTGTCGATCGTCCGATTGGTTATTCAGCGAGGTGCTGAATCGTCGAATTGAGCGTGGCGAAGCTATCGTGCTCGAGCCAGCTGGAGCGCCGAATCGACCATTCTTTCAACACGCTTTACTAGAGAGAATTTTACATGCATCTCATTTGTATAAAGCTTAATTTGTGTTAGGCATCGCAATGTGGGTTTTGCGTGAGTCTTACTCGATCTATAGCGATTCACTTGCATTGGAGTCCAATGATTGGACTTACTTAAGAAAGGTGGAAGCGATAATAGACCGTTTAATAGTCTTTCTCCACCATTACTTTCTTGAGTTTTATCCATTTTCAGGCGTGGACTAGATAAAGGAATTTGTTAGAAGAATATTTGTAAACCTAGTTACAGAGCCACGCAACCTGGATATATGTGCTTTTTTTTTTATCGATTTATATTTGCATTTCTACATGTTATTTTACTTATATTAGCATATAACTTTTGTCAATTATGACATCGAATATGTTGTCACTTGTGGTACTTTTATGAATTTATTGCACCGCCATCCGTGTGCATAAATACTGAAAAAAGAAAAAGTTCTATAAAGTTGAACATACAGAAGAAAAGGAAATGCTTAAAGTTAAACGGGAGAGGCATAATGTGAGTGATTAAAATAAAAATATAGTTAAAAAGGATACATGATAAAAATAAAAAAAAGATTTGGAAGAGTGTGAAATTTATTAGCATAGTTTCAACTTGCAAGTTTAAGTTTATTTTTAAGGTTAATACCACGAAAAACCCCAAAATGGTACATCTGTGACAAATTTAACTCAAATTAATATTTTGACCGCCAAAAGCTCTGAACTAGTATACTAAAAATCCCAAATTGATACATTTGTGACAAATTTGTTTTCTGTTGGTTTCCGTTAAATTTAATTAATATCACGAAAAACCAAAAAATGGTACACTTGCGACAAACGGAGGGTAAAACCCCAAACTGGTACAAGCTTCAACTGTCATGTGTCATCAAACTCAGCAATTTGATGGAAAAATTTAACGGAAACTAATGGAGGATAAATTTGTTACAAGTATATCAGTTTTGAGTTTTTCGTGGTATTAACTCTTATTTTTATTTTAGAATATGGAGATCCCTACCAAAATTTAGTTCAATTTTTTATCGATTGAATTAAAACACAAGAATGTATTTCTTTACTCTTATTCGATGTGAATCGCCAGTTTATAATAAACAGATGTCAAAAGTATGAGTAATACATGAACAATGAAATGTAAATAATTCATCCAGAATTTATACTAAATTATATATGATACTTATGTAATATGTAATATAAATAGAATTATATTTATTCCTATTTAGATTAAGGGGATGTCTCCGTAAATACACCTTAACTTCCATTTTTCATTATTTTGATCATTTCGAGCTTAATTTAAACAGATCAAGAAATAGATATAAAACAACATAACTATATATAAGTAATAAATTATGCTTAATTATTTTTCATATTATATTATTAGATCAACTGAAAATTTATCACTTAATGTAGTAGTTGTACTTTACATTGTACTTACTTTTTATGGGGTAGAATACTTTATATTTTTATTTTACTAGTTTATTTTTATATGTTGCGTCTTTTAATTTCTTCTTTCGTTAATTTTAATATTATCTTTACATAAAGCGAGTTTATTGTTAACTAAACTTTATCATGTGATTAAATTTGACATATTATCTGTTGGAGATAATTCGATAACAGAAATATTTATATTTTGTTTGATTTGCATTTTCTTTTATAAGTATATCATTTAATTGTTCTTTAATAGATTTCATTGTTACAGTTCAATTAATCAAATATAAGATGAAGTTAAATCACGTTATGAAACACTCTATATTTCATATCAGCAGTTGTTTATTTATGGTTTATGTGTGTTGTTTACGTAATATTATATAGTTTGATATCATCAATTAGTTTTACATAGTTATGTTGGTGTTATCTACGTTATTGATATAATGAGTTAACTTTCTTGTTTACTTCTTTTTTTTTTTTTTGGTAATGTTCTTAGTTTACTTCAACTTTAAACAAATGAACATTTTTTTGTCTCGTGAATTACTTTCAAACTAAGGGTGTATTTGTTTCACGGAAAACTCAATAATAAAGAAAAATGCTTTTCCGAAAAGCATTTTCCAAGAATACAATTTGTTTTCCTTTATGTTGGTGATACATGATTGAAATCGCTTTTTAATGTTTGGATCCTATTGGAAAATGATTTCGATCTCAGGCAAAAAAAATTCGAAATTTTTAATAATTTTTATTTTTGTATTTTTTTAAAATATTCAAAATGTTAATTATTTTGTATTTCGCTTTTTCCATTTGTTTCGCGAAAAATAAATGATTTGAAAAATATTTTCTAAAAAATAATCGCTTATATCGCTTGAAATAATTGGCCAATGAAAAATATTTTTATTATCAACAACAATTTATTTTTAAATATTTTTGTGAACAATGAAAATATTTTTCTTTTATTTATTTTTGTCAGCGATACAAGTAATGTCAATTTCCGTAATTATTTTTTAGAAAATCCAAATCATTCATTTTCCGTGAATAATTTATGTCTAAAACTTTCTTTTCACCCTTGCTCACTTTTGAGTCGACTAATCATCATGCTACCCAAAGTCATGTCAATCTCATATGTTTATTTTATCCTAATAATTTTTCAATGATTTTTCCCCTTATTCCTACCTTAATCGAGTTGCAATCTTGTGAATAATCACCACTCCCCCATAATTTGAATTGATTTTCAAAGAATCCCTTTAACGAGCGTCCGAGAGTGACTAAGTAAGGAAATTTTGTTATTTTTAATGCATCAATCGTCTCATGCGCAATTAATAATTTGCAAATTAAATAATATAAAGTTACATATGCAATGATTACTTTTAAAACACTCGTTAACAAAATTCATTTCTAAATTTACGTGCTATCATCTCTTTCCTCTTTTGGGCATTTTTTGAATTATCTCCAGTCCTTTTGTTCTCTCCGAATTGGGCAATAGTCAAAATAAGAAATTATTGTAAAAAGGAAAAAACCGACATGGATCGTGCAATAAATAATATGACAAGCCATTACATTTATTCCTATTTAGATTAAAGAATATGACTAATCATCACCCCACCCAAAGTGATGTCAATCTCAAGTGTTTATTTTATCCTAATAATTTTTCAATGATTTTTCCCCTTGTTCCTACCTTAATCGAGTTGCAATCTTGTGAATAATCACCACTCCCCCATAATTTGAATTGATTTTTTTATTATAAAAAAAAACGCTTTTAACGAGGATCGGAGAGTGACTAAGTAAGGAAATTTAGTTATTTTCAATGTATCGATCGTCTCATGCGCAATTTATAATTTTCAAATTAAACTATATATTTGAAGTAACATATGCAACGATTAATTTTTAAAACACCCGTTAACACAATTCATTTTTAAATTTAAGTGCTATCGTCTCTTTTCCTCTTTTGGGCATTTTTGTAACTACCTCTAATCCTCTTATTCTCTCCGAATTGGGGCAATAATCAAAGTAAGAAATTATTGTAACGAGGAAAAAACCGACATCGAGTCACGCAATAAAAGGTCATGAGCACGACATTGGACGGGAGCGTTGACTATTCATTCCCGTGAGCGCATTGACTCCGGTGTGAGGAGTCTTAAAACACGAGCGCCCCGCGGCACGTGATGCTGCGGTGATTGCGACGAAACGTTTCTTCTTCCCGAGTTTTGAACGGCACGAGAGGATGTTTTCACTCTGTTATTAAGTTTGACTTTAATTCAAATTCAAATTCAAATTAATTTATTATTAAGTGATGTTCCCGTCCCGTGCTAATTAAGTTCTCGATATGGGTCGCTCCTTTAAAGGGTCGTTCACAGTCTGACACGTCTGCAGATGAAGTAATCTTGTGAAACGGTCTCGGTACAATCTAGCGTTGCTCCTTGCGAAAAGCGAAGGGAACTTTGTGATCCCGTTCCCGACTTTTCGTTTGGGTGCTGTGCCGCCTTACCTAATCGAGATTTTCTCTTCGTCTTTCTTATTATTTGGCTGATTAGTGTGCGTCTAACATCATATCTGGAAATTTGTTCCAACATGACACTCAGGCCAAAAAAATGAACACAAAAAGTTCGGATGGCTCCATGGGGGTCTTTCACCGTTGGATCGAAAATTAACAGATCTCAACCGTCCAAGCTGAGATTTGTTGAACAGTCGATATCTACGGCATTACAATCTATCGATGAAAGGTCTAAGAGGCACGGTGTCTTTTGAGGACCATAGACTTACCCATCAAAGTTCCTCAAACATAAATGCTTACGATGTAAAGTTCAGTATAAACATTGGTAGTTTAAAATGGTCCTTTGTTTAAAAAACATTGGCAGTTTCAAATGGTCCTTTGTTTCAAAATACTGGGAAAATAGATAGTTTAGTATAGGTGAAACTAAGGTTATCTCCTACAAACTATGGAACCTAGGAATAATTCAATGGAAATAAAAAGAGGACAAACTACAAGTTGGGCAAAATCATAATATTCCTATTTTACAAGAGCAATGTGAGATGTCACCCCCAACCAAATTGGGCAAAAATCACAATTTTCCTATTTTCAATCCAAGTTGGTTTTACAATTTGGGTCATGAATT